CATGTGGCAAATGCCAAGTATCTTCCTTGATCACTCTCCACCTTAGTTTTTGAGACAGGGTCTCTCACTGAACCTGGAGCTCAATGATCCAGCTATACTGACTGGCCAACACAATCCAGGGATCTGCTGGTACCCATCTTCCTCAGAACAAGCATACAGCCCTGCACTGCTGTGTTTGGTTTTTTAAGTGGGTACTAGGGATCCAAACTCAGTCCTGATGTTTGTGTGGCGGGCAGTTTGCTGTCTAACCCAGCTCTCCATTCAGAATCTTTTAGTTTTGTAATGTGTGGAGAGCAAAGAGTCTATCAAGATTGCTTTTCTTTTTTCTTTTTTCCACTTGAAGACATGGAGAACCAGAAAAGAGCTTACTGATGCCTTTAAAAGGTCTGCTTAGGTGTGAATGAACCACACCACATGACCAGGAGGTCCCCTGGGTTCCCTGAGCTTTGGGTTTGGGCAGAGTGGAAATGAATTAGTACTTTAGAGTTTGGTATTTAAGTAAGGCTAAAAAAGGCAAATGTCTTTAAATGTAATCAGGTAAGTTATTTAGTTTCTCTTGGCTGTAACAAATACCTCAGGAAAATAACCTTTTTTTTTTTTTTTTTTTTTTTTTTTGGTTTTTACGAGACAGGGTTTCTCTGTATTGTTTTGGAGGCTATCGGTCCAGCCCGGCCTCGAACTCACAGAGATCCGCCTGCCTCTGCCTCCCGAGTGCTGGGATAAAAGGCGTGCGCCACCACCACCCGGCTCAGGGAAATAACTTTTAAAGAGGAAGAATTGGGCTTGGAGAAATGGCTCTGTGGGTGAGGGAGCTTGTGGTACAAGCATTAGTGTGTGAGTTCAGATCTCAGCACCCATGTAAAACACCAGGCGTGGCTATACAAGTGTAACCACTACAGTGGGGGCCCAAGAGGATCGTTCCAGTCTCAGTGAGAGCCCGTTTCAAAGGAGTAGGACAGGAAGTGATAGAGAGGGCCCCTGAAATTCTCCTCTGCCTTCACATCTGAGCTTGCAGAGGGATGCGCACCCTGCTCCTTTCTAGTGTAAACACTGTCAGGACCAAGTCTGATGCAGGATCTGTAACACACTCCGTACTAGATCTCTACTTAAAGAGAAAGCTTTGTTTACCTTTGCGTGAAGACCGAATCTTCATTAAGGGTTTAATAAATGTTTCAGCTTGATACTTTAAGAAACTGGAGTAGCTGTGTCCATTCTTAGAAGAAAATTACAGGAAGGAAAATCTTCCTGAATCCGGAATTGAGGTAGAACAATGTTTGGAGAGACAGTCTCTCCAGGGTTGCCAGCTACAGAGGAGCAAAGCCACAGAAAAGAATAGACACAGTCAGGGCTCGAGGACCTGGATGTTTTACTGCAGAGATTTTTGATGCTGTAACAAACCTGGCATTCAAAACAAGTGTCTCCTGCCTGACAGGCGACTCTTAGACCACAGGGGTTTCAATATATCTAAAAGCAAGCCCTCCAGGAAAATAGGGATAGTAGAGGGATTTGCCTAAATTGGAAGATAGTAAAGCAAAGGATTATGGGAGCTATTTTAAGGAAATATCTATTGACATTAAAAAGAGGAGAATTCTAACGTCTGGTTAGGGAAAATTAGCAGGACAGGGCTCTGCTGATAACCAAGCCATATGACTGACACAGCTGTGGCTGTACAAGGCACTTTCAGCCCATCTCTGCTCTGGTGATCGCATGTTTGAAAGGATCTGACTCAGGCAGAAGAAATTGCTCGCTGGGATGTGACCTCCCTTTGGCACAGCTAATCAGCCGTGTTCCACCATTATGGATCAGTGGCTTTGTCTCTCAGCTAATACGGTGCTGTGCAAATACACACCACTCTCTGACCTCCTTCCCTCGTAGCTGTTACTAGCCTGAGAGAAAACAGCAAGGACAAACTGCAGGGAAGCGTTTGTCCTGGCTCCACATTCTCTACAGGAACCCTTCAAGAAAACGTACCCACAGATCCTTAGGAAGATGCTCTGGCTTTATGGCAATGGTTCTTACATCCACAGCTGTTTCGGTGATTGGCTAGCATGGGCCAGAGACTCCAGAAGGACACTGACTGTGTTTATCAGTGAGTTATAAAGAAATATTCCAGTGGAGGAGAAGCACAAGGCACACAGAGAAAAAGCACAAGAACATCCATGGCTTCTCTGGGTGGTATGCCCCACCCTGCCCCACCCCACTCCTGGGGTTTTAAAAAAGGTTTGCCAGCCCTGAAGTTCAGAGAACTCTGTTCTGTAGAGCTTAGGTGAAGCTTACATTAAATATGTTTGATTAAACCACTGGTCATAGTAATGAACCTGGTAGCCTGTCCTCTCCCTGACTCTCTAATGATCTGGTCTTTCTAGAGACCAGTCCCCATCCTGATGATACCTGGCTCCCTCTTTGACTCTTAGGAGGCAATCTTATCAGCATATGACTGAGAGGAAATCACAAAGTGTCTAGAAGCTCTATACCAATAGCCTGGAGCAAAATCCAGAAACAAGCATGTGGACTTGAGTGTTCCAACGGTACCATGTAGGCCATGGAAGTCTCATCAGATCCTAACGGTGCTGGGAGATTCCTTCCTAAAACAATGTGTATTTCAAGTATATACTGACCTGGTGTGGTTATGCATAGTTGTAATCCCAGCATTTTCGAGATTGAGGCTGAAGTGTCCTTTGATTCATATTTAGCATGTGTTATACACTGTTAAACAATACTATAAACATCTTATTTTTATTGTACCTTTTCTGTGTTTAGATATCATTTGGGTTTTGAGACAGAATCCAATGTAGTGTAAGCTGACCTCAGACTTGATTAATAGCAAAGGATGACCTTGAACTTTTGATCCTCCGCTTCTACCTCAAGGGTCCTGGAATTATAGATGTGCACCACAACACATAATTTATTCAGTGCTGGAATCAAACAAAGGACTTCACATGATAGGCAAGCATCCCACCAACTGAGCTACATCCCAGCCCTTGATATGTTTAGCTGCATCCCTAGCAATGTGTTATAGTTACCTTTCTTATTCAGTACAGCAATGTACTATACAGACTTGCAGCCAAGAGCCATAGGCTTATCCCATCATATAATCTCAGTATGTAGTAGGTTCAATGCCTAGATTTGTCTAAGGAGATGGTGCCATGATCACAATGTTCTCTCCTAACCATGAAGTTTTCAACATAGCCACATAGTGAAAGGACAGGTGACTATATTTATTTCATATTACATCACAAGATTTTCTTATGCTATTAGTTACTCTTTCATCGCTTTTAATAGTCTTTATATTAACCACAGAAACCCTTTATTTCTCTAAGCCTCAGGTTTACCATCTGTAAAGTGACAGTAATATATAGGGCTGGCCTCATAAGTTAAGACTGTTAACTCCTACATAGCTCTCTGGGAACAGTAGATCTCATCACTCAACAGTGAGTGGTTCACTAAGTGGCAACAGTCATTGCTTAAAGTGACTTTGCGTTTTGTCAGACAATGTTTTAAGTGATTTGTGTGTTATCAATTTTATTCTAAACAACCCTATTAGACAAATGTCATTAGCCCCATTTACAAGTGAAAAAGTTGAGACCTAGAGAATTTACAGCACCACCTAAAATTGTGTGGCTAGAATTAGTACATGAACAAGTCAACTCAAGGCTCCAAAACCTCATTCTTTGCCTCCACATCATTGGAATTCAGTAAATACTTAACAGTGAAAAGTTAGTCAGTGAATAAAAAGCAGGAATTCCCCAAATTTTAGTAAAATATTTCTATAGTTTAGCTCAACTGAGAAAAAAAAGATAGATAGACTCCAACAGCCACAAAGGAAATTAGGAAGGAAGGAAAGATTTCCTTCAAAATACTCTAAATTATTAGTCACTGAAGGACAGTTCATCCCCCTACCCCCTGTGAAAAGCATCAATAACTCTCCTGGGAGGGGGGAATTCCAGTTTTAGGTTGGAGCCCACCTTTGGTCTCTAAACTTCTTGGTTGCTTGCCAGCTCATTGCTCAAACTTCCTGCCTTCCTGTTGGGAAGACACCAGCTATGTGAAACCCTGCACCTCACCACCCCTCAGTCACCTCTGCTGGCAAAAAGCCCTCACTCCCAAATCCTCACTACACATGCATCATTTTGATTGTTCTAATTGCTCTGTTTATCATCTTTCAACTTCTTTAATTTGAAAAAAGAGCTTCAGAAAGACCGTCTCTTTTTAATCTAACATGTAACAAAACAAAGCTCCTATATGTTATATATTAAGTGACAAGATGCTTGGCTAGGTAACAAATGCCTTAAACATTTGTGCTTCTTATATTTTTACCTTATTCCTTTGTTTTCTCTCATTTTGTTTTGTTTTATTTTTGGTTGTTGATGATGTCTTTTTGGGAAGCCTGAATCCTGTTGTCTTAGTTAGGGTTTCTATTGCTGTGAAGAGGCACTATGACCACTGGCAACTCTTATACATTATCATTATGATGAGAAGCATCGCAGTGTACAGGCAGACATGGTGCTAGAGAAGGAACTGAGAGTTCTACATCTTGATCTGCAGGAAGCAGTAGACTGTGTGCTACAGTGGGTGTAGCTTGAGCATATGAAACCTCAAAGCCCATCCTCACAGTGAAACACTTCCTCCGACTAGGTCACGTCTACTCCAACAAAGCCATGCCCCCTAATAGTGCTACTCACTGTGAGTCAAGAATTCAGACACATGAGTCTATAGGGGCCATACTTACTAAAATCATCACACTTATTCGTAAGCTAATGAATTCCTGGTTCTTCTACCTAGAGCCAATGCATATACATGTGATGATATATCACAGAGGATTGCCACTCCCCTTAAATGAGCCAAATCCTTGTAAACATGATTAAGCCCTGTTTACAAAGAGCTGCTCCTAAAGCAATCAGATGGTGGTGTTGAAGTCCAAGTGGTAGATGGTGTGAGCACACCTTTAAGACTTCTCTTTCCCTTCTAATTGTTTGCAAAAGCAGCATAAACTTACTCACCTCTGGCCTGAGCTCCAGAAGGTATAAGTCAACAATCCAAGACAACCTGTCACTTTGTGCTGGGAAGATGGAATGTTGTATTCAAGACCATTTCTAGTGCAGTCTGCAATGTTCAAGGCTGGAACCTTTCACTTCCCACAGACACAATTAGCCAACACTCCAGCAATCTCCAAAAGGCTGATCCTGTGGTGTGTCTAACAGTGAAAATCCTCTTCACCACTGGGATAAGAGAAGAGCTATGTATGAGCTATGTACTGGTAGATGGAGTGCATCAGTCACTTGTATGTCCAAAATACTTATCACACACACACACACACACACACACACACACACACCACAAATATACAAAAATAATTTTGACTTACATTTTCTTTAAAATATTGTCAAATTTGTCCTTTGGTCTCAGCTGATATATAAATGACTTCAAATATCACAGAACAGTTTTCATTATGGTCTGTGCCTTCATGTAGTATAAAGCATTCCTGCGGCATAAAATGGAAGAGAAAATTATGGCTGCTTGTATTTCATTAACAAATTTTTGTCTCTGAGTCACACAGAGCAAGTATCACAATCCTTATCATTATTCACTTTAGCATAATGGTGACTGTATTTTTTATGTATTTGAGGTAAATACTTCTTATTTTAATACATTCATAGGCTGGGAAATAGATCCAAGATAGAGTGTCCAGCAAATCCAAAGCCTTGGGTTTAATTCCCATACCTCAAAAGCAAACTGAGAACAAACAATAAAATATACTTTTAGTAACAATTTATTCAATAATGTTAAAGAATGTAAGAGTTTGTGGATTTGAGACTGGAGAGAAGGCTCAGCAGTTAATAGATCTTGATGCTCTTTGAAGGACCCAGGTTTGGTGTCCATAACCCTTACCAAGCAGTAGTTCACAGCTGCCTATAACTCCAGCTTCAGGGGATTTGTTGTCCTCTAATGACTTCCATGGGCACCCACATCCATGTGCACATACACACACATATATAAACACACACACAGTCACACACATACATAGACAGGAATTAAAAATAATCTTTTAAAAAAGAACTTGTGAATACAATGGAATAAATCCATTTGTTAATGGGGTGCCAACAGAGAGGTAGCTTTTCTTAACACTGTGACAAAAATACAAATAGAAGGTTTCATTTTGACTCATGGTTTCAAAGGGATTTCATTCCATCATGGATATAAAGGAAAGGTAGAGAAAGTGGCTCCATCGTAGTAATGGGACTCTGAGGCAGCAACTGTTCATACAGAATGAACCAACAATGAGATAAATAGTCTAGAACCAAGGGCAAGCTGTAACCTTTGACTTCCTACATGCAATGACCCAGTTCTTCTGATCAAATCTCAGCTTCTAAAGGATCCACAACTTTCAAACTCATACCACAAGCTAAGAGCCAAGTATTCAAACCATGAACTTGTAGGGGTACATGTAATCTTCAAAGCATACCATCCATCCATCCCTGGCCCAGCAAAAGAATCTTCAAATACAGTGACATTTGGCCACCTTGAAAAAATAGGACATTCTCATTGGAAAGAGTTCAGAGGGAAAGATTGCAGCAAACTTCAAATGTTGGGTGAGAGGGAGGGAAGGGACAGAGTTTGCTGGAGGATAGCCAAGCAGGTGTTTTCTGTTGAGCACTAGCGAAATTCTCATGAAGTTACAACAGCAAGAAGAGCAGAGAATATAGCTGACTGGGAAAGGCATCAACTTGATCTAGACAATGGAGACACAGAGTGTTTCTGAGCAGGGAAGAATCATGACTAGAAAGAATTTATGAAAATTATATTGGTAGCTAGATAGCCTCCTTAAACCTGCCTTAACAAGGTATCAATGGCTTAAAATGATAGAGATGCATTCCCTCAAAATTCTAAAGGACAGAAGGAAATCAAGGTATAGATGGGGCAGGACTGCTATGAAGGAGCAAGGAGAAAACTCTCCCCAGTGCTTCTCCTCTTGGTTCTGCTGGCTGCTAGCAAACCTCATTATTCCCTGGCTCACAGACAGATCACTCAAACCTCTGCCTTAGACCTCACCTGTTGTGCTCTCTGGGTATCAAATTAGCCTTTTACTATTAGGATATCCTTCACATTCAGGTTAATGCCTAGTCTAACCCACAATAACCTGAACTTGATTATATTTGCATAGACTCCATATCAAAATAAGATCACATTCACAGGTGCCAGATAAGCATGAACTTGTTGTAGTGGGGTTTGCATGTGGAACCTCTTTTGTATGTTCTTGATTTTCTTCTTACACCTTATATACCCCAGAAAAAATTTTCAAATAACATAAAAATTACAATGTGGTCACATTCTATTTTTAAGTGAATGAGTTCAATGAATACAGGTAAAAATCATAATGTTTTCGATATCCCTTACATGATTAAACAGAGTGTAAGAAAGCAAGATATTTTTCTCAGCCAGTTCTTTTATTGACAGGCTGTATTTTGTGGTTACAAAGACAGGCTCAATTGCTTTAAGATTTATCTCAAAAGGCAATCTTATAAAAAAATTAAAAGAATCACAGATCTAAACACTTATGTGTAGAAAGCAGTCAGGTCTACTTTCAGTCCTCAGGAGGCAAAGATAGGCAGATCTCTGTGAGTTTGAGGCCAGCCTGGTCTACTGAACAATTTCCAGGACAGGCTCCAAAACTATAGAGAACCCCTGTCTTAAAAAAAACATGCCCGGTAGAATGGGATATAATCTCACTACATTAAAGGCAGTGGGAATCTCTCCACATCCATTCACACCATGCCGGATACCAGAGAAAAATGACAGCAGCAAACATGTAAAGGCACAGCAGTGGCAAGAAACATTCTGGAGCCAAAGCCCTTAGTGCCTTGCCTGAGGTTCACCCATCAGTGCCTTGCATTCTGGTTGGCCAAATTCCTGAAGTCAGTTGCCACCTGTTGATCCTCTGATGTGGCCACTGGCAGGGAAATGCAGTCATGGGGAAATCAGCAGGAAGCTCTATGAATGAACAACTTAGAGTCTAGATTACAGTGACAACACTGGGATGTGGAGAGGGGGCAGACAGAAACAGCATAAAAGTCGGAGTCAGCAGACCTCATCAGGTGGCTGATTTGAAACTGAAGGAGATGAAGTTAAGGATGAGTCCATGGGAGGGATGCCTGGGTGGATGGTGGAACCAATCCAGACAGGGAGCTAGACATTTGTAGCTGGTTTAGTGAGATTGCTTTAATTTCATGCTTTACAGTGTAATTCTAGGAAAGAGCATGGCTGTCTGCAGCTCCTCCGAAGCTGGACACTCGCTGCTCAAGTGTTGGCCAGAGGATAGGATAGGTAGTGGGGAGCCAGGGGTAAACCAGCTTAAGGAAATAGAGAAATTAACACCAGCATGAATAAGTCCTAGGCCGAGAGGATAGGAGAGGTAAAAGATTGAATCTTGGGAAATGGGTCAATCATATGTCAGATAAATGAAAAGGGCAGGGGAAAAACTCAGCAGGAAGCCAGTGGACAGGGAATAAAAATGGTGGATGGAAGAAAGGCTAGTTCTATAGATAAATCATGCAACATAATCCTATTACTAAATATGAACATATGCTCAGACATTTTCTTTGAGTGCCACCTTTATATCCACCCAGCCCATATCAACTTAAAATTTCTATAGAAATAATATGGAGCATAAGACTAACATTTTCATTTTAAAAAGTCTCTTGAAAATACGTTTGCACTCAGTCCTCAACAAGATCAATGGCAGGTTGTCATAATTTTGATGAAAACCTTTTTTATTTCTATCTAAACAGGCAGAATAGTTGGGTGCCACATGTAAAAATCATGCTTTCATATTTTTCCATGTCTATCCTGTCTATCCCATCTCCAGAGTCTGATGAACAGCCAATTGGACTTCCATATAGGTGAATGTCCACATAGGTGGGGAATGGGTTCCATGACCCTCTTGGATGACTATCCCCTGCCTGGATTTAAGTCATGGCTAGGTGGCATAGAAAACCTGATCCAATGTGTGTGAACAGTTGCTATCCCACTGTCTTATTTAAACAAGATGGGGGGATTTGACCCATTTTTGGTACAGATACAACCATTGTAGATGGACTAGTACGTGGTCTGTGATTAGATTAAATAAATCCATGGATTATAATCCACAGATATGGAGGCAAACTATAGATTTTACTATGGAATTTTAGAGGTTGATTTATTCACTACACAGGGGGAACATTCTGGGTTTTATCTGGTTTGTGTTCAGGAAAGAGCACAAAACCCACACAATAAATCTCCACCAAGTGAACAGTGAAAGTGGTCTCCCATGTCCAAAGAATCCAGGACACCCAAACAAACATTCCCTGTCACCATCTTGCTCCCTCTGTAACCATAGATCTGTTCTTGCCTCTAACTGAATAGTGATTGCTGGTTTTGAAGATCATATAAATATGAGCATATAACAAATACTTTTTATGCCTAGCCACTATCACTCGATGGTACATTTCTAAGATGGTCTGATACTGAGTTCTACAGAGGTTCATTCACTTTCCTTACTGTAGTTCATCCCACTAATAGCTATATAGTAGGAATGTGCATGCATATCTATGTATAGAAACATGTATCCATCCATTCTCTGATGGCTAATGGGTGGTTTGTGAAAAATGCTGCTCTCAGATACCTGTTTGCTACCCACATGAACTTGTTTCCTTTGGATATGTATCCAGAATGGAACCAGTGTTTCCTGACACTCCCTCTCTCTGCATGTGTATATGTGTGGTGTCCATGAATGTGTGTATGTGCATTTCATGCATGTGGTCACATTTGTTTTCGAAAATGTGTGTGTTGGCAAGCATATACATGTGTATGTGGAGGCCTGAAGTTGCATCAGGCACCTCCCCTCTTTATTTATTGAAGCAGTCTCTCTAGATGAATCTAGAGCTAGCCAACTCTGGCTAGTCTAGCTAGTCAGCTTGCCTCTGCCTTCTGCCTGCTGGAATTACAAGGGTCAGTCATGCCTGCCTGGCTTTTCACATGGGCTCCGGGGATCCAAACAGATCCTCATGCTTGCATAGCAAGTGCTTTAACCACTGAGCTCCCACTCCCCCGGCCATATTGTTAACTCTTGTTTAACAGTGCAGTTCAGGTAGAAAAGAGCAGACTGGGTTTCCATTTTGCTGCAGGAAGCAAGTGAGTTTATAACGGACAAAAGACAGTCAGCCAGGGATTTCACAATGAAGTTGATGTGAGAAGTGAAAGTAGGAAACATTGGAATGGGCAACAAAGCCAGGTTTCTGGAGAACATCCTGAGAAATGCTTAGTGGAAAAAAAAGTGAGTAGGAAGCAAGTTAGGCAGCCTCAGAAGCAGCTGGGAGGGGAGGAGAGGGAAGGACAGATGGAGCTCTGTTGTATTGGAAAAAGCAGAAGTGCTCCGATTGCCCAGTTTCAGCACAAAAATGAGAAAGAAAACCAAGTGTGAGTTGGTCTACTCTGGGACTTTTTCAATGAGCATCATGTCACTGTTTTCAGAGCTTCCTTATGATAGAACTAGTCATCTGGACTTCCCAAGAGGGACCCATAGAGTTCTTCTAATTAAGAAGTAGAATCTTGTCCAGCTACAAAGGCCTGGCACCTTTGCAAGTCAGAGAAATGCATTCTGTCTGCTGGTGGGTAATAGACACCTTCTCCTGTGTGCTGGCAACTACTTTCCCATCAACACCTTGTTCGTATGAACACCTGTGCAGCTGAAGACTGAAACCCCCACACCCACTGCGGTGCTAAGCTCAGGCTCCCTGGGAGAAATCTTACTGGCTCTGGGGAATATGCATCTACAGCCTGGGGGAAGTACAACCTGAGCTAGTCTGCGTGTCTGAGGAATCCAGTCGTATTATCAGGGAGTGACTATGAATGAACCCTCTACCTGGGCATTCAAGTCTTTATTCTGGTTACCAGCCTCATGTGTGGCCTTTTGCCAACAGACCAAACCAGGCCAAATTTCCCCAGGGGGCCTGTTCCCTATCCACAAAATACAGTCAGTCTCTTCTGCCTGCTGCCCTCCTCCCAGCTTTCAGCATTGCATCACGCTGTGTTCTTGTGCTCTAACATTCACTTCAGCTAAATTCCTTTTGTTCCATTCTTGAAGCTCTCCATTGCACAATGGGCATGCTATTAAGATTATCGAAGAGATGAATACCAAACATTTTCCAGTGCTCCTCCCCCTTGGCCCTGCCACACACTCTTTTCAAGTAGCTCTGCCACCCCACAAGAACTCTCTGTTTTGTTCATGGAAGAATGGTCTTCCCTCAGTGGCTGGGAGCAAGTGATGGCTCACAAAACTACAGTGTGGTATCATGTGAGTCCAGGGTAGTGGATGTACCATGGATCCCAGAATGGCTTGTGTGCCTATTCAGACTCCACAGATGTGGCTAACTGGGTCACTGTATGAAAGTTCATCTGTCTGCACCTGATCTTATCCCTCTAGGGTAGAAAGGGTAACTAAACCAGGTAGTGGTGGTGTAGACCTTTAATCCCAGCACTTGGAAAACAGGGTGGGTGGATCTCTGTGAGTTGGAGCAAGTTTCAGAATAACCAGGGCTACATAAAGAAACCCTGTCTCAGATAGATAGATAGATAGATAGATATAGAAACATAGATAAATAGAACATAGATAAAAAGAAATGCTAAGCTTAGAAGGCTATTGTGAGGGTTAACTAAATTCATATTTTAGGGACTAAGAAGGTGAATCAGTTTATAAAGTACTTACCTTGCAAGAATGAAGATCTGAGTTCAGTTCACAGAACTTATATTTTAAAAATTGCATGATCTGGGGCTGTAGTTCAATGGTTAGAGCACTTGCCTCTCATACATGAAGTCCTAGGTTCAACTGCCAGGAAGAAAACTGCAGACATGGTGATGTATGCTTGGAATAGTACTGGAGAGACAGAAGCAGATGAGCAGCCAGCCTACTGTTTGACAAGTTCCAGGCCAGTGAGACACTGTGGAATGACCACCATCTCGTTCCTTAGGATTATGTGCTTATTAGGTAAGCACTTTACCAACTGTTTCCACTTCCACATGTATGTGCAAACATATGCACATACACACATATACACCTCTCACAATACTATACACACTATGTATTATATATAATATAAAAACTTATAACCAATGGCTAAAGCTTAGAAAGATGGTAAGTAGGTAGATGGATGGATGAATGGATGGAGTCATTCATTCATACATTAGAGGATTGTAGAGAGATATTAGAGAGATAAACAGACTACATAGATACATAGATGGTAACTGGTACTCAGATACAGAATGTGGATAGAACAATCAATAAGATTTTACTTAGAAATTGGAAATATAAACTTAAAAATGTGAAAGTCCTACTTCTTCTCTAGTACATACAACAGACTATATAACACCTTCCTCAAAGAATATTATGAAACAGCACTATGAATAAGCAATCTAAATACAGCTTGCTTCTTGCAGAAGAGTTTTCTAGCCTTTCATGACCCAAGCATTTACAGCTGCAGGATTAATAGCCTGGTGCTTGCAGAACATGGCAAAAATCACTAAAACCTCAGCGCAGATTCAATAGAAAACAGCAAGTTGTGTAAATATTTAATACATTTAATTATATATTACATTAATTATTTAGTGTCTTGGCTGCTGTTCTGTAATGATTTTTTGCATGTCCAGGAAATTAATGGTGGCCATACTGTCCCTTGTAGAAAACATGCTCCAGTCATGTCCTGCTGGTTGGTGCTATTGTTTGTCCAAACACTGCTGAGACCCTGAGGATGAAAGGAAGCTGACACAATTTGTAAGAGAAATAAAAAGACTCTGGCAATAAATTTAATGAGGCCCCGGGGTCAGCCTGACTAATAAAAGTCATTGGTGATGGGTCTCCATTCAAACTAGTCCTAGAGAAATCCGCAGACTTTGGAGTCATAGGGGTTCTCACATATCTTAGTACATGGTGGAAAGTCTGAAGGTCTTTGTTAGCTATAGTGCTATCACTTAGCAGATTAGTTTCCAGTTTGGTGAGTTAAGCTTGGCTAGCTGACAACCGTTATCAGTTTCATACAGTCCACATCTGATCAGGTGTAACGGTGCCAAGTCATTCAGGATTCAAGCTTCCAATGAATTGGTTACGTCTCCTCAAGCCCGAAAGGAAAGTTTTATGAAGGGGAGAATGTTTGAATGACTCACCCTTTGTGCTTGCTTAGTGTGGTTCTAATTTTTCATTCACCCTCCCAGGTGTGCTCTGGGTAGATAACACAGAAACGCATAAGAGAGCCATTAATATGGGTTTTATTAAGTTGCTTTTAAATGTGCACTTTGCTGTGTAGATGGTTTTAGCATCTTTGTGTTAACCACTCACTTATGCCCATTACTGCCATATTTATGGGACACAGCTGGATCCATTTGACTCATGGAAATCTTGGTTTAGAAAAGAGAATTTGTGGGCTGAGATGCATCCCACTTAGAAGCACATTTGTCCAGCATGCACAAAGTGCCGGGTTACTCTCCAGTACAGCATACTGGTGATGCGCTACCATGATCCCAGCCCTCAGCAAATGGAAGTAGGGAGACTGCAAGGTGTTCATGGCCAGACTGAGAGTTTAAGTCCAACCTATGTTGCATTTGTATGAGGTGAAGTTATGTAAGAACCAGCATTTTAGCTAATGAAAGGATTTTTTTATGCATACTGCCCAAGATTCAAAAGTTGCTGTTAGGCTCTGTGGCCAGCTTAAGAATACGGAGAGTCAAATGCTGTTTAACACCAGGGGAGTGTACATTGGCACAAACTCCATGGGGAGCCAGGTTGAAATTTATTTATTTTTAATATACCCATGACTTTTGAGCTGGCAGTTCCATTTTGAGACAACTACCTCTAAGACACATTTGTACTGGTGCAGATTCCATTTTACTTTTTACTATTTTTGAATAAACACACATGCTTCTATATCCACATGTGTAATTTTTCTTTTTTATTTATTCTTTGTGTATTTCACATCATGCCTCACAATCCCACCTGTTTCCTCCCCCACCAAAAAAAAATATAACATAATAAAATTTAAGAGAAAAAGAGGGGAAAAAAGGAAGAAAGGGAAAATCTCATCATGGAAGTTGCCATGTGACACAGTGAGTCACACATTAAACCCCTTTATCCATACATTTATCACAGGTAGCTCTGGGTTCACAGGACTGACCCCCCCACCCTGTCCCTGTGCCCAAGCTGATCACAGATGGGGTGGATGTTGGGATGGGCCAACACATAACCCTGGTTCTGTGTCTGGGTAGTTGCAAGCTTGGTCATCCTGCCAGCTCTCCCTTGTTTCCATGGCCAGGGTGAGCTCTCCTGCCTTGTCCTGGCTAGTTCACCCCTTGCAGCAATGAGCAAGGGGCGGGGCCAGTTCTGCTTTCATGTCCTCCAGGGCCAGCTCTACTGTGCTGCTCAGGCCAGGTATAGGGGGGCCTCTCTCCAGAGTGCTGCAGCTGATGAGGGACAGGGCCAGCTCTCCCACCTGCCTCAGGTGTTGATGGGTGGGTGGGGCACATCTCTTCCCTACTCCACCCCTACTCCTACTGCCCCACAGTGCCCCCCATACACCCCCACCCCATGCTAACAACACCAGGGCTGGTTCACCCACACCTCTGACAACAGAGTCAGCCTACTTGAGGTTCAGGGCCTGCCCTCTAGTCTGTTGCAGCTGGTGGGAAGAAGGGATTTATGGTTGATGGGGGCGTCTGTCTCCCACCCATGCTGCCTCCAGGCAGATAGTAATGGGGACAGCTCTCCCCACATATGGACCTTTAGACCTAGATTCTGCATATGAAAGAAAACATGTAATAGTTGCCTTTCTGTGGCTAGCTTATTTTGTGTAATACAGTGACCTCTAATTCTGCCCATTTCCTTGCAAAGGCCATCATTTCATTTTTCTTTATGGCTGCACAGCCAAGCATCCTCTTACTTTCTGATCTCAGACACCTGTCCCTCACCTGCCTGGTATCAGAGTCCTTACCACCCTGTTTGTTGCCTAATATAGATAACAGTTTCTATGGAGATAAATTTACCCCACTTTAATCCTGAACCCCCTATTTCCAAATAGACAATCTGGCCAGTTAGCCCTTAGTACCTACCTGTTTCCACCATCTGACCCATCTGCTAGTGCTAAGTATAGAAACAAGAGCCACCATGCCTGGCTTTTGCATGGGTTCTGGGGATCCAAACTCACATCCTCACACTTAAGAAGTGAGTGCTTTATCTGGTGAGCCACACTCTCTAACAAATATTTTTAAATACTGTCCTCAAGTAAAATTCACGAATAATAGTCTCTGAAGTTGTAGCTCAGTGGGAGAAACTTGTCTAGCATATTGGCATGTCCAAAGCCCTGCGATGGATCACTAACATTTAAAAATAGTCTTGGATAGCACAGCATATTTACAACATATTTTTAAACTATTGACATAATTCTGCTATGTAAACAAGAAGGAAAAAGACATTAACCTATCCCCAAATAACATTTATTGTAGTGTGTAAGTATGTATGTGTAATCAACTGTACTATGGGTCATGGAAAAACAGTGGATTGGTTAATCACCATGAATACTAGAACTACAAGAGTTAACTCTCCCCTTGTCAGGGACTCAGCTCATTCTGGGACACTGCTGTTGGTATACTGCCATTCTTACAACATAACTCATCCCTAGGGACATTTCAACAGAGCACAGGATGGCTACTCCTTGTTCTTCATGACAGCTGCCCTCCCCAGAAAGTCTGAAAGTAGTGAAAAACTGCAGATACCACAATCCACAGCCACTACTGTCCACCACCACACCCTACCCTCTTGCTGCCAGGGAACTCTGATCATAATTTTCCCTCAGATGTCTGTCTGCCATCACCCTCACCTCATCTCTTGTTGGGAAGGTAGCATCCTTGAGCTGGACTAGTTATGAAAGGTGAGGGGGATACAGGATGGGAAGAAATATGGGTGTGTGTGTGTGTGTGTGTGTGTGTGTGTGTGTGTGTGTGTGTGTGCATGCACATTTGCAGTAGAGGAGGTAAGTAGGAATCTCACACATTCTTTTCAGCCTTTGCAAACTTTGTTATTTCTGGACAAACCTCATATACAGGAGACCTCAATAACCAACATATGTATCTATAATAGAAAGAAGAATGTATCCACCCTTCTCCATTGTGTTTCTGGGAAGCCTTGGCCTTCAATGGCAAGAGCTTCCTGCTATCATTTGAGCATCTTTTTGGTTTGGTCCCTAGGATCTCTCACTAAAGACAGTCTGGGAAGCCATACACTGTGCGCCTATTTTTGCTAGGTGTGCATCAAAATTTCTTTGTTGTACTATGGGCATGCTGGTCCCATTGCCCATGATACAGAAACACGAGCTGGGTACAGCATTCAGATGGATTCAGAATCCAGGTGGGCTCTCACTGTTGCTGGATTTCTGAGCTGGCCACCCGTTGCTTCTCATACCTGATCTTCACAACTGAGAGAGTATACAGCCTGCTAAAGAATGACTATGGGAACTGTGGACCTGGCTCTGGAATGAAGGGCTTGATGCACAAGCATAAGGACCAGTGTTCAGATATCCTGAGCACACATAAAAGTCTGACAAACACATAGGCTACCCTTAATCCTGGAACGCACTGTGCATGGATGGGATTCTTGAGGCTAGATAGAGTTCCTGAACTGGTGCACTCAAGGTTTAGTGAGAAGCCTCTTTAAATAAAGTGGAGCTTGATTGAGGAAGATGCTGAAATCTACCCTTGGCCTCCACTTCCACTTCCACAGGCAAGAGCATCTGAACATACACACACACACACACACACACATACATACATACACACACACATACATACATACACACACATACATACACACACACACACACACACACACACACACACCACTCACACTTTGTTAAACAATGCGCTGTCAGCTGTGGAAGCATTAAGAGGAGTTGTTCATTGTATGCAAGTCACCACAGGAAGTAAACACATGTTAGAAAGGCACATGTCTAAGTCTAGGTTACTTGAAATGGATGGTGGTCATTTTGGGATGCTCTCTTACCACCAGAAGGTTAGGATTAGGACTAGAGTTTGGATTGACATTAGGGTTAAAGGTTCATTTTGGCAAGGCCCAAGAGAGAAACCCAGGTCACTAAAAATACCCAAAGCAAGAAGGTGTAGTCAGAGTAACCACCCCATACTTCAGGCACCCACAGCTTCTCCCTTGAGATTAGCAATGAAGGCTTTACCCAGAATACCACATTCAGTCTAAAACCACCCAGAAGGCATGGTTAACTCATGAGTGTCTATAGAAGAGTCAGAATGTGTCTG